CCTGGTGGGCCGGGGCCGGTGGTAACGGCGCTGGCCCCGCTGATGGTCCCCGAGCACGTTCCGCACGTCCCGCTCATCGCCGTGACCCGGAACCCCGTCTTCCCCCGGTTCATCAAGATCATCGAGGTGACGCCTTGCACCTTTTCCCCTCCGGGGGCCCATTGCGGGGGGGGGGAGGGGAGGCTCCCTGTGTACCCCCGCCTCCATGCTCCTTGGCCTTCGATGGGAGTTGTAGTCGAAAGGGGCCACTGTTCACAGCTGCCGACCAGAAAATGCCCCGGGGTTTGGGAGGGAGCTGTTGGCGGCGAGAGAAGGCACTGGGTAGTGACTTTAAAAAAACGAAACAGCAGCCATGGAGACTCCCTGAATTAGTCATGGTGGCAAATATTCATGTTTTCCTAATTAATTATCATTATCATCGTTTTAGGATTACAGAGTAGGAAGGGGTCCAATAGATTACCTAGTCCAGCCCTTGTCAAGGAGGCCCAGTGGGGGATTCGAACTCCTAACCACCCCTGAGAAATGGGACAGCTCTAAATTGAAACTCTTTAGTAATCATAATTTTTAAGCTGTTGTTTCTAAGAACGGCTATATAAAGTCACTTGGGGAGCTCCTGTCTTGTCAGAGGTGGCGGCCCTGGGCTCGTTGGCTGGTTGGTGTGGGCCAGTGGTAGGGCAATCCATAGCCACAGTGGGTCCAGTTGTTTTGCAGACAGAGTGCCTTGATCTTCAGTATTGTGTCCAGTTCTGGACATCGCCCTTGGAGAGGGATGCCAAACTGGAGCCAGTCAAGAGGAAGGCAAAAAGAAAGATCCGGGGACTGGAAACCAAGCCCTGCCAGGAAAGATGGCAAGAATGGGAGGGGGAGGTGAGAGAGGAGAGCCCTTCTCAAATCTTTGTAAGACGATCCTGCGGAGGACAGGGGCAGAATCTGTCCTCCATCCTCCCAGAGGGCAGGACACGTCACGATGGGCTCGGGCGACAGGAAGCCGGATTTTAGCTATCAGGAAAAACTTCTCAACGGTTAGAGCAGTACAACCACGGGACTCATGGCCTCGGGAGTCAGTGGGGAGCGCTCCCACTCCGGAAGCTTTCAAGGGAAAACCCTGGAGGCCCTTCTGGTCCTGCTTTCCCCTCAGTGGGCAGATCTGAGCGGCCGTGGCCTTGGTCATGCTCCCAAGTCTCTGCCTTTCAAGGGTTGGCAGCTGTTCTGAACCTCTGTCTAGATGGTTTCCCGCTAGCCAGCACCACTCAGGAAAGTGCTGTTGTTGTTTTTTTAAAGAAAGGTGCTCATTTAAAGTGGAAGCTCTTCTGTGTGGGAGGAGGGTGTGTGGGCTTGTTCTCATGTTTCTGGGAAGGCTTTAGGAGAGGACTCACAAGTTGGTTGGGATGTCATTGTATTTCATCCTGTGCAGATCTTGCTGCTCCTTGTAACGAAAGTTGGAAGGCTCTTTGACCTGATAGAAATGGGGCTTAGCGGGTGCCCCTTGCAGAGAGAGGCCTTGATGTTGTTTTCAAGGGCATGAGGACGTCAGCGCCACTTCTCAGGGTTATCCTTTGTGGAAAGATAAGCACGTGGGTGGGTCAGGAGATAGAGCAGTTCCTTTTTCCCCTTGAACCATGATGAATGTGCTCAGATCAGTTTGATCTGTGTTGATACAAGAGGGCGAAAAGCAAGCATTCCCCATAGATTCTTACGTGACATCAGAGGAGACCTTCCCGCTGACGGCCTTTCATTGGGTTCCAACACAAACGAAAGCGCTGACCTTAACTCCTCGGTTTCCGGACTCTTCTGGAAAGTTGTCAGCACCGCTTTGCCTTGGGCAGATAATTGTACAGCAGTTATTTATGGGAGCTCACACTTTTTATGAAAAGGAAGGAGATTTCAGATTGTAGCCTAGTTCATGTTGCTGAGATCAGTAACAACCAGAATGATGGTGGCCGAAGAATCATATGGATCAAAACAAGGTCCACCTTGCATAGATAGCCAGGAGATCAGTAACAACCAGAATGATGGTGGCTATCTATCTTGCATAGATAGCCACATACCCCCTGGCTTAGACAGCTGCCCTAATCCTTCACAGGACTGAGTCCACTGTCCAGTTCTGGACTTTTAATGGCCCCATGCAAGAGCACTCTCCAAAATGTCCCATCCTCCGTGGCCCTGCTCAGCTTTTGCAAACTCAAAAGTCGTGGCTTCCTTGAGGGAGTCAGTTTATCTCGTATTTGCTCTTCTTCTTTTACTGCTTCCTTCCACTTTTCCCACCAGGATGGTCTCTTCTGGAGAATCCTGCCTTCTCAGGATGTGCCCAAAGTAGGACAGCCTCAATTTTTAGTCGGCCTTTCGCCCCCCATCGCATTCTCTAGTTCTCTTTAAAGGTTTAACATTTTCAAAAATATTGAAGATATCCATTAAAAGAATAATTCCAGGGCAGCACTCGTTATCACAGCATTTCATCCAGAGTCTTCTATGTAAAGTCTCTAGGATGTGGAATATATATTTTTAAATGGTATTTGTTGCCAGGAGAATCCATTAGAAGGCAAGAAAAGGATAGCCGAAAGGCAGCCTCAGCATAAAGGTTTAACATTTTCAAAAATATTGAAGATATCCATTAAAAGAATAATTCCAGGGCAGCACTCGTTATCACAGCATTTCATCCAGAGTCTTCTATGTAAAGTCTCTAGGATGTGGAATATATATTTTTAAATGGTATTTGTTGCCAGGAGAATCCATTAGAAGGCAAGAAAAGGATAGCCGAAAGGCAGCCTCAGCACCCCTGGTTAGGAGAATCCATTAGAAGGCAAGAAAAGGACAGCCGAAAGGCATTCTTGGCCTCAGCGCCCCTGGTTGAAGGCCATTACTGGGAGGTCGTGGTTGGAGCGCCCTCTTTCGGTTCTTCTTCATAGGGAGCCATATTTGTCTCACGATTCTCCTTTCCCTCTTAGGTGAAAAACAAGAAGCTGGTTGAGTTGCTGAGGAGGAAGGTCAGCCTGGCCCAGCCGTATGCAGGGGTTTTTCTCAAGAAGGATGACAAGTAAGTGGTGACTACTCTTGTGGTTCCTACTCTTTGAGAAAAGTCTTGGAATACAGTGGTGCCTCGCATTGCGACGTTAATTCGTTCCAGTGAAATCGCTGTTAAACGAAAATGTCGCAATGCGAAATAAAAAAGCCCATAGAAATGCATTAAAATGTGCTTAATGCATTCCTAGGGGCTTCAAACTCACCGTTCAGCGAAGATCCTCCATAGCGTGGCCATTTTCGCTGCCTGTTAAGCGAGGAATCCGTCCCAGGAAACAGCGGGGGGCCATGTTTTTTCCCCCGGTAGCCGCTGTTAAGCCGCCAGTCAGCTGTGCAAAAATGGTTGCTTTGCGATGATCGGTCATCACAAAGCGAAAATACCCCATAGGGAACATCGTAAAGCGATCTCAAAAGCAATTGCAAAAAGTTCATCGCAAAGCGATTTCGTCGCTAAACGGAGCGCTCGCTAAGCAAGGCACCACTGTATAGCAGCCTTCTTTGCCCACAGAGGCATGTCAGGGATAGCCAGAAGCAATTATTTTGAAGCGCTGGTTTTTCAGCCAGCTCTTCCATCTACGTGGCTCCCAAATGTCTCCCTTAATCTCTGACCTGGTGTTCTTGCCAGCAATGAATCTGACGTGGTGGAGAACTTGAATGAAATCTACCAGACAGGGACGTTTGTTCAGATCCATGAAATGCAAGACCTGGGCGACCGGCTGCGGATGATTGTGATGGGACACCGGAGGTAAGCATGCTCCCGGGCTCCTTGTCTTTCTTTGCTTCTTGTCCTGCGTTCAAACGATACCAGGTCAGATGCCAAGGTACTTTCACTGATGGTTTCATAGAATTGTAGAATACAGTAGGATCCCCTTATGGTCAGGATCAGTATCTGCTGATTTACTTACCTGCGGTCTGAAAATATTAAGAGGAAAAATCTTAGAAATTTGTATTTCTAAAGATAAAGTTATCAGGACTGGCCACAGGAGGGAGCCAGAGAGCACACTGTCTATAGCATTTACTAGGGACATACAGTGTATTTCTACAGTGTCATTAGCAGAACTGGCCACATTCCCGACTATCCATCTCCCAAAGCCTTTTCTCCCCTGTCAGTTTGTGTCTTTTCCTTTCACTTGGGCTTCAGGATCTGTATCAACAAGCAGCTGAGCGTGGAGCCCGAGGAGCCCGAGGCCAAGCCGAGAGTCCGCCGAAAGTCCAAACGTTCCCAACGGGAGGTCGGAGAGGCCCAGGAGCCCAAGGCCCCGGGCAGCGAGGGGGTGGTGGTGGAGCCCCTGGAGGCCGCTGCTCCCGGGGAGGTGCTCATGGTGGAGGTGGACAACGTGGCCCATGAGGAGTTCCAGGTCAACGAAGAGGTCAAGGTAAGCGAACGGCTCCAGCGGATCTGGGACTAGAGAGGAAGTGCAGGCTTGCCCTCTCGGGGCTGGACGCCTCCGAGGGCTCCTCTGCGCTCCTTTTTTAAAAGTCATTGTTCATAAGGCAGCAGAGGCAGTGGGTCCTGATTTGACCCGGGAGGGCAAGCTGTTCTCTCAGATGGGATTCTTCTTAGAGGCGCCCTTCTGTCTTCTCTGCCTCTGGCCCTTTGATGGTCTCCCTGTTCCTTTCGTACGCAGGCTCTGACTGCAGAAATTGTCAAGACAATCAGAGACATCATTGCTTTGAACCCTCTCTACAGGTGCGTCCTCCCCGAAATGTTTGTGGCCCGTCACCTGGGCCCTCTTCTGATTCCCCCCCCCAAAAAAATGCCAGGGTGTCAACAGGGGCTTCCTAGGCAGAGCAGGGGTTGACAGGGTGGGTCATTAGGAGCCCTGGCCGTGTCTCCAGTGGGAAGGGTCTTGGAGTGAAGATCTTCTCCAGCTGCAGCTCCTGATAAGGCAAGGCCGGAGCAGCGAGGTTCGGTCCTACAGAGACCTTTATCGGCCCTTGGGTTCTAAGCACAGGGCTCGGTCTCCTGTGACAAGATCCATTCTCTGATTCCTCTTTTTTCCCCCCCTCTGGCTCCTTGCAGAGAGTCTGTGCTCCAGATGATGCAGGCGGGGCAGCGGGTGGTGGACAACCCCATATACCTGAGTGACATGGGGGCAGCCTTGACGGGGGCCGAGTCGCACGAACTGCAGGACATCCTGGAGGAAACCAACGTAAGGGAAAGAGATCGCTGTGCCCTTCACTGTCTGGATTTTAGCGGCTTGTCCCCTAAAAGCTCTCCTGCTAGGCATGGACGTGCCGGTCCCGAAGTAACTCTCCGGTGCTGCTTCCTTTTCCCTCCTAGATTCCGAAACGCCTCTACAAAGCCCTGTCTCTCCTGAAGAAGGAATTCGAACTCAGCAAGCTCCAGCAGCGGCTTGGGAGGGAGGTGAGGCTTTGTCCTCTTTTCTCCTTCCAAGGGTTCCTCTTGAAGCAGCACTGAGCCCGTTCTGGCAGCCTCTGGTCCTGTGGTTTGGGGTCTCCTGTAGCGAAGTTGAACTGGAGGGTGGGAAGAGAGGAAGGACATTGGTATGGACTCTTCTCCTTTCTCAGTTCCTTGACTAATTTTTATATCAACCGCCGGCCCGAATCCTATGGATGTTTGTGCAGAGTTTGCAGAACAGCTAATTGCGGCAAATAGAGGATCTCATAGAATCTTAAGATCCTCTCAAGCCATAGAATCCAACCCCCTGCTCACTGCGGGGATCCAAGCAGATCCAACTGAGGGCGGTCCGATTCCTTCTCTGTGATGATCACCTTGAGTCTCAGAGGCTGAGAATTAACAGGTAACCTGGAGGTGGATTGAGACACACTGTGCTTTGCAGGTGGAAGAGAAGATTAAGCAGACCCACCGGAAGTACCTCCTGCAAGAACAGCTCAAGATCATCAAGAAAGAGCTTGGCTTGGAAAAGGAGGACAAAGACGCCATTGAAGAGAAATTCCGGGAGCGCCTGAAGGAGCTGGTAGTCCCTGAGCATGTCATGGAAGTCATCGACGAGGAGCTGAACAAGCTGGGCCTCCTGGATAACCATTCCTCTGAGTTCAAGTGAGTTGGGTGGGAGGGGGGCGTCCTTGCGGGTGTCGGCTTTCTCGTCCGATGGAGGGGAAGGAGAGGGTTTCCACACACGGTGCAGTCAGGCTCTTAGGGACCCAGTGCGTTTCATGGTTCAGGGAAAGCCACACATCCCAAAAAAACATGGCTTTAATCACTGCACCACCGTGCCTCTTTGGTTTCCTTCAAAAGAAAGTTTGGTCTAAAGAGACCAGTAGGGGGTCCTACTGTATTTATATCCCTCCTAGGACTGAGTTGCATACTGTGATAAATAAGACAGTCGGACGAAAATGAAAGCCAGAGTAAATGCAGCGCATCAGTGGCAACTAGGTTCTAGTCATTAGTCTCATCAACACCAGGAAAAGTATTTCCAGCAGGTTCAGGAGTACCCAGTAAAGTCCGCTGTTCACCCTCTGAAGCCAGAAAAGAAAGCTTGCAAAACTTAAAAGAGTCCCACACGGCTAGGACTCCGGCCACAGAAAAGACCCCTTCCTTAGCTGCTGCTGTTGCCTTCCAAGCTGACCAGCCCTTCCCTTGAGGAGCTGAGGGTCCTAACTCTTGAGACCACTGAGGCAGAAGGCGAGAGGCAGCGGTGGAAGGATCTGCATGGACTCTGTTTCCCTTTCTCTGAGGTGGAATCTCAAGGGTGGGGGTGGGGTGAACAGAGATGATTCACAGAAAGTGGGGCAATTGCGGTGATTCTCTCTCCCGGTGCTGATGCTTCTCGGGTTTCTGCCAGTGTCACCCGCAACTACCTGGACTGGCTGACCTCCATCCCCTGGGGCAAGTACAGCGAGGAGAACCTGGACCTAGTCCGTGCCAAGGCCATCCTGGAAGAAGATCATTATGGCATGGAGGATGTCAAGAAAAGAGTGCTGGTAAGGGCCCTTGGGTTACGGCTGCAGGGTCAGCAGCCAGCTCAAGATGGAAAGAAAGGGGGGGCGTTTGCCATACAAGACAGTTTTGTAACTTAGAGATCATCAAAAGAGCTCTCAGTTATGGGGGAAGAGTGTAGAAAGCTTTTTCCCCCTAGTGTTTCAATTTTTCCATTTCTATTTTTTAAAAAATCATAAAATTCATTAATAACGATGGAATCAAGTAGGCCAGCTTGGCAGTTTCAAAGTTGGGATTAGTGTTTTTCAGGCAGTTTCCCCAGAAGAATACTTCTGTGCTTATTGGCGTGTAAATGGGTAAAATTTACATGTCAACAATTTTCCTCCTCTTTTTCTCTTTTAAACGTTTGGACGAATGAAAGAAAGGTGCTGTGTTTTTAACCAGGCCAGTTTTGGGTCCTGACCTAGTCTTTGAAACAAAGAGCAGCGGCAGAACCAGCTTTGGGCCCCCTTCTCTGACAGGCTCCGTGCTTTTTCCAACCTAGGAATTCATTGCCGTCAGCCAGCTGCGAGGGTCCACGCAAGGCAAGATTCTTTGCTTCTACGGGCCTCCTGGGGTCGGCAAGACCAGCATCGCCCGCTCCATTGCTCGGGCCCTCAACCGGGAGTACTTCCGCTTCAGCGTGGGGGGCATGACGGACGTAGCAGAAATCAAAGGGCACAGGTATGGGTTTGCGGCTCTCCATGGCCCCTTTTTACTAGGCTAATTCGCAGATTCTCTTAGCGATCTGCATATTAACACATAATACATGTCATGCATACCCCGTTGTAAAGGCTGAAAGTTTTCGTTCCCCATATAACTTAATATTCATCGGTTGTATATAAAAGAGGGTGGGAAGCAAATATCCTGAGGATGATAACGATTAGTAATAAAAACGTCTCTCTGATCAATTCCAATTTGATAGTTTACCCTCTTATTTGGAGAAAAGGGTCTGATTTTGGTCCTGCTTTGTCTAGTCCATGGGCTAGAGTTTGGCCCCCGATCCCTTGGCGTGGAAGAATGTTTAGCCATCCAAGAAAAATGTTCAGACCATGAGATCTAAAAATGGAAGTGAAAAGGTCCAGAGTCCTGAAGGAGTTGACCAAGAATCCGGATTCTTTGCTGTTTTTCCCACCTCGTCGGTACATTTTCCAGCCAGGGAGTGTGAAAAGTCAAGAAGGAATTAATGTAAAGAGGGAGAGACGGGTGTGTGGTGTCTTTTCTGCTGGGTGGGCTCAACCCCAAGTGCATTCTTTTGGTGCCCAGGCGGACATACGTGGGAGCCATGCCGGGAAAGATTATCCAGTGCCTCAAAAAGACCAAGACGGAGAATCCACTGATCTTGATTGACGAGGTAAACATGCACGGGCCCCTGCTCTGCCAGTCATCTGTAAAAAGGGGAGTCCTGAAGGCTATCGGAGCTGGGTAGGTGCTGGCGTGACTGCAGGGGCTTCTTGCTTCCTCTGAGGCAGGTGGATAAAATTGGGCGTGGGTACCAAGGAGACCCTTCCTCAGCGCTTCTGGAGCTGCTAGACCCGGAACAGAACGCCAACTTCCTGGATCACTACCTGGATGTGCCTGTAGATCTTTCCAAGGTAGGATTCTTATTTATTTTTTCCTTTGCCTCCTGCCATATTGGGTTTCTCTGTCCACTTCAGCAAGAGGGGGCCATCTGTCTCCAGGTATTCTGGATTCCAGCAGCCCTCGGTATGGGATTATGGGAGGCGACCTAGGATGATATTGGAGGAAAGGTCACCCTCAAGAGACTCACTGAGATCCAGCCTGGTTCATGTGTTGGGCTGGGACTCAGGAGACCCGAGTTCAAATCCCCATTTAGGGTTCTAGGAGTCTTTAACACCCCCCCCCAAAAGAACTTTCCAATCATTGTCTCTTTATCCAGCCTAGGTTGTGCAAAAGAGAACAGGATAGAAGGCTTCCCAGTGTGCTTACATGTATTCTTTTTTCAACCAGTAAAGATTTTCTCCTAGCCCTTTAAAGAGCTCTTTTTCAGTTTTATTTTTATTTTTTTTCCTTGTGTAGGTTTTAGACTGGCCCATCTTGATGGTAGCCACTTCATTGTTTTGTCTATTTTAATGTACTTTCTTAACCCATCGGTGTAGGAAGACACTTCTGTACTATATTTCATCTCAGAAAATACTTACCGTATCACATAGGAAAACCCACAAAAAAGCAGTAAAATAATTCAATGAACTACCATAAGATCCAGCAAGAGAGCCATGATAAAACAGGAAAACATTATGTTGAAATTCCTTGGGTTGGCAGAAGCCTCCTCCATTAGAAATCTAGCTGATCTTTCTAGGCGAACTAGGAAAAAAAACCTGTGTTGTTGAGAAGTAACATCAAAAAATGTGGCCACTGGGGCTCCCTAGAGAGAGAGAGGTGCACGACACCCACCTGCCGTCTCTGTTCTCTCCCTGCTTTTCCTCTGCAGGTGCTTTTCATTTGTACTGCTAATGTGACAGAAACGATCCCCGAGCCCCTGCGGGACAGGATGGAAATGATCAATGTCTCTGGATATGTCGCTCAGGAAAAGCTGGCCATTGCAGAGGTGAGAGCGGAATACATCCTTCTTGGCCACTCGCTGGCACCCGGGTGTTACATACAGCACTGATGTTACCTGTCTGTCATTGGTTTGGAGGAAAAGTTCCATCCTATGGGGAGTGGAAGGCGGGACATCAGGAGGAGGGGCTGTACTGTATATATATGTGGAGCGTGTGTGGAGAAGCTGGAGAAGAGCTGAGAGAAGAAGCTTGAGTGGGAGTCTGTGTGTCAGACAGGGTACTACTGTGTGTCAGTCAGTACCAACCTGATAGGTTCAGGTGTCTGTATGGTTAGCCAGAACTGATAGGTTCAGGGTCTGTGCTTCAAGTTAAGTGTTCTGTGTGAAGCAAACTGTGTGTATGTATGATTGAGACTAAGCCACGTTACTGTATCTTATTCATTTGATCATTTTATTTTCCCTGTGTGTTATTTAAATAAACCTTATTCCGTTATTTGTTAAAAATCCATTCCTGGTCTGTGTGACTCCTTACAGGGAATGGTTGGTGGCAGCTTAGTGAAACTGTGGCATATCCCAGTAGGTCTGGGGTTGTCACACCGGGTCCCAGTGGTGTTCTTCCAGGGCGCCTTAGGGCTGTTGCTCTTTTTAAAGTTGTGGGGGGAAAAAAAGAAGGACATTTTGGGGAGCCCTTTACAGGCTGGAAAGTGGCTTTTTCCAGGGCAGGGAGAAAATACTCTCTGGAGAGACCTCCCACTTTCCTCCTAAGCGATCCAGAGTGTCAGAGAGAATGGAGGCACCTTTCCTGTTTTCCTGGAATTTCGTAAATGGATTTCCTTTTTTTTGTTTGTTTTGTTCTGTCCTTTTCCAGCGGTATTTGGTCCCCCAGGCTCGTGTCCTGTGTGGTTTGGACGACAGCAAGGCCTCCATCACTCCGGATGTGCTGACGGTCCTTATCAAACAGTATTGCAGAGAGAGTGGTGTGAGGAACCTCCAAAAGCAAGTGGAGAAGGTGATGGGGCCGGGGGGTGGGGGAGCCCCAGGTTTCAGAGATTATGGCTTTGAGGACCCATGAACCCACTTCCTCCCGGCTTCAATGCTCACTCCTTTTTATTTTTTCTCTCAGGTGCTTCGGAAATCTGCGTACAAGATAGTCAGCGGGGAAGCTGAGAAGGTCGAAGTGACTCCCGAAAACCTCCAGGATTTTGTCGGGAAGCCCATCTTCACTGTCGATCGGATGTACGACGTGACTCCTCCAGGCGTGGTGATGGGCTTGGCTTGGACAGCCATGGGTAAGAGAGCATGTATGGCCGAGGCAGTGGCTATTTGTGGCAGACCTGGTTTCGCCTCCACCACTGGAGATTTTGTTAAAATGGAATTTGGTCCTGGGGCTGAGACGGGCTTCTCTGCGTGACTGTATTGGAGTTGCCCGCAACAGGAGGCAACTTCTTCTTCTCCCCGATGGGAACCTTCTCCCTCCTGCCCAGCTGGTTTCAGCATCTGGAGGGAGGGCTGCTTCATGGACTGGATACGACTTGGGCCCCGGATGTTGGGGATCGGCTGCCCCATTGTTCACCTGGACTTCCCCCCCACCTTCTAGGGGGATCCACTTTGTTCGTGGAGACCTCACTGCGGCGCCCGAAGGACAAAGAGAGCAAAGAGGGCTCTCTTGAAATCACAGGCCAGCTGGGCGACGTGATGAAAGAGAGCGCCAAGATCGCCTACACCTTCGCCCGGGCCTTCCTGATGCAGAGGATGCCCGCTAACGACTTCTTGGTGACATCTCACCTCCACCTCCACGTGCCAGAGGTATCTCGTGTGCCCTAGCCTAGAGCAGCCCGGGTTTATTTTGAATACGAACCCTGCCTTTGTATTTAAGCATGTCATTGTAAAGATTTTCTTAGGGGTTTCAGTCTCTGACGGCAGAGCCAGAGGTTGGGAGTTTGATTCCCCCACTGGGGCCTCCTTGGCAGGGAAGGGACCCAATCAATGACCGATTGGGTCCCTTCCAGCTCTGCTGTTCTGAGATTATTTATTCATTTAATGGCAATAATAGGCTCACAGTGAGGCATTACAACGTTGGGGGCTCACTGTCTAGCCACAGCTGTCTGCAGAGCTGAATATCGGGAAAAACCTCCTGTTGTACCAGTACGACAATGGAGAACCAAACTCAGAAGGGGGCGAGCACTCCAAAGCTGGAGGCCTTCAAGAGGAGACTGAACCACCCTCTGTCCGATCTGCTTGGATTTCAATCCCTGCTTTGAGTTGGGGATAGAATTTGATGGCCTTTAGAGGCCAAGTTCAACTTCATTATTCCGTGATTCTCTGAATGTTGAGGACGGGTACCCTACAATCCAAATTTGAGACGTGACGCACAAGGAATAAGCAGTGGGGAGGTGGAAGGGAAGTTTGTGTGGCCTCTTTCATTTCCCACCCACCCCCTCTTCTGAGATAATTCTTCTGTATCGTGTCCCCTTTCTTGTAGGGTGCCACCCCAAAGGACGGTCCCAGCGCAGGCTGCACCATTGTGACAGCCTTGCTTTCTTTGGCGCTGAGTCAGCCAGTGCGGCAAAATGTGGCGATGACGGGAGAGGTCTCGCTGACAGGGAAAATCCTTCCGGTTGGAGGAATCAAAGAGAAGACAATTGCGGTGAGCTGGGGGGCAGGAGGCCCCCTCTGTCCTGGCTCTGGAGAGAAAGGGATAGGTGGAGGACAGAGGATCTGCCTCAGCTGAAAGCATCCTCCTCTGTTCATACGGTTTCCCAAGGTCTGGGTTTTTTCCACAGCCATAACGGGACACTTTCCCTTTCCTCCTAGGCCAAGAGAGCCGGTGTGACCTGCATCATCCTCCCGTCGGAGAACAAGAAGGATTACTCGGACCTTGCTGAGTTTATCACAGAAGGACTGGAAGTTCACTTTGTGGAGCACTATGACGAGATATTTGACATTGTTTTTCCAAAGCGGGATTCCTCCAGTGGGTGACCCACTCTTGCTTCTCCATGCCTCTGACTCTGCGGCGTCTGTCTGGGCCACCCTTTATGCAAGCAGGAAAGTTTTGAGAGAGATGATTTTGCAGCTACAGCCCCGATGATGCTTCTAATTATGGTCTCTGCAAAACATGACCCGCCCGAAATGACGGGAATCATGAACCAATTAAAGCCTTTTCCAATGAAATCAGACTGTGAGAAAAGATCTGTGAAAAATGTTTGTCTGTCTTGGCCATTTTCATAATAGTTTATAAAGTATATATATATATAGTACTATTTTCTCATACTTTCTACCACGGTTGCATTGAACCATTTTGTTTCCTTTACATATTTTTATCTTTAAGCTTTTAGCTTCCTTGTAATGAGACGGTTTGTTTCATTTCTCCTCAGTGTTGAGAATCCACACAGGGAGAAGCCATCTACAGTAGCATTCCCATATTCATGGGATCATGACTCTTTTATCCATGGTCTGAAAAGAAAAACCCTAGAAATACGTATTTCTAAATATTGTGTTACCAGGACTGGCCACAAGATGGAGACAGAGACCATGCTATGTAGATAATGCACTATATTAATAACTATACTGTACTGTATTCTGCATTTTTTCATCATTCACAGGCTATCGCCGTAGATACAGGGGTCTTGCTTTACATGCTTCAAATGCAGAAAGCACTTCAGTGAAAGAAACACGCTTCATTCTCCTCGGAGAATCCCCACAGGGGGAAGAAACTACGGTATTTGAATGTTTACAATATGGAAAGAATTTTCATAAGAGAGGAAGGCTTAATTCCCATCAAAAATCTGCACAGTGGAGATGCCATTTGCATGTCTGGAAGGAGAAAAGTGTGCAAATCTTGCTTTCCACGTGAAAATGGGAATAATCCTTTGCATGCTTCAAATGCAGAAAGTACTTCAGTGAAAAAAATGCCCTTTGTTCCCATTGAAGACTTCTCACAGGGAAGAAAACGCTCAATGGAAGGTGGAAAACCCTTTAATTCTTGAATCTTTGTCTCGATATAGCCAAGCGTTTTTTCAACTTTGACCTCAGGTGTTTCTGCAACTCCTTATTTATCTATTTATTTGAATTACTGAGTTTTATTCCACACAACCTGGCTTCCTCAGGTTTTTATAACAAGATTCATCTGTATTTTCTTGTTTTTCCTCATTTGACTCGGTCTCAAAGCATTCTCCACTCATTCCTAACAGACTGAGGAATGAAAGAGATTGGTCCTCACTGAGGACTACTGCACTGAAACTTAAAACGTCCTCTTTTCTACAGTTAAAGCACACTTTTTGTCTGGGAATTAAAGCAGGTTGAATAAACTTTTCCTCAGGTAGAATCTTTTTATAACCCCTCATTTTGTGTAGGTGCAACAGTTATTTCTGCCATGGTGAGACAGATTTAGCTGTTTTAAAATTATTTTTCCTCAGACATTTTATATGCTCTCAATAGTTGTCCTTGGAGGTTTTGCAAACCAGCAATCTCTGGTTTAATAGATTAATTGATCAGAATATACTGCTGCCTTTCTTTTTCTTTCGATCCATATTTCTCTCTATTTCTCTTTCCCTCAATTCCCACCATTTCAGTAGATTAACATTTCCCTCACGATCCTTGCCTGAGAGCCACCTTTTACCTCAGGAAAAGCTTTAGCTTTTAAGGACTAATGAGTTACTGCATCTCCTTCCCTTCTTTCACCCCTCACTATTTCACTTTTCCTTTTTTTGTTTCTCATGAGGGAAACTTGGTTTTGGGGTCCAGCCAACTGTTGGACCCCAATTTAAGAACTTTTTTCTTTCTCAACCCCATTTCCAGACCCTCCCCAGGTGGAATCCTGTATCCCAAAGCTTTCAGATATTTCGGATATTTCTGTCTCTTTCTCCACAGAACGACACACAGTTAAATCACACGTTTTCTCTGGGAATTAAAGCAGATTTAATAAACAACTTCCTCAAGTGGAATCCTTTTTAACACCTCCCTTGTGTAGGTATAACCGTTATTTTATCTCCACCACCGTGAAGCAGATTCACTTGTTTGAAAAGATTTTTTTTCCTCAGACATTATTTTTCTGAACTGTGGAGGATGCTCTGAATAGTTTTCCTCAGAGATCTTGCAAACCAGCCGTCTCAGCTGGAGGCGAATTGATCAGAATATCCTGCTGCCTTGTTAACAATTTGGAAATTTGTATCTGTCACCATTACAACTTGATCTGTCAGGAAAGCTGAAGTAAAAAAAAGATCCAAAGCCACCAGCTCTTTCCATTTTCTCCTTGATATTAGCTCCAACTCTGACAAATGTTTATCCTATCTTCTTATGAGGCGTTTTAACTATTTAATTCTGTATGCGTGTATACATCTTTTTTCCTTGTGAGTCTTTATATGGTCTGTCTTTATTTTTTCCTCAACTTAAGCCTGTTTCCTTCATTTTTAGAGCAGTCCCACCGTTTCAGTAAATTAACATTTCTCTCACGATCCTTGCCTGAGAGCCACCTTTTACCTCAGGAAAAGCTTTAGCTTTTAAGAACTAACGAGTTACTGTGTCTCCTTCCCTTCTTTCACCCTATTTCCCTTTTTTGTTCCTCATGGGGGAAACTTGGCTTTGGGGTCCAGCCAGCTATTGAACCCCAATTTAAGAACGTTTTTCTTTCTCAACCCCATTTCTAGACCCTCCCGAGGTGGGATCCTGTATCCCAATGCTTGGCACCATTTCAGTCCAATCCAGCCTGGGAGGGCGTTTCTTTTAAATATAATTTAATTTCCAACTTGCCCCACAAATCTTACGTTCCCCCTGGGGAGGTGGCTTTGAGTTTATCCACTAATTTCCAAACCATCTAAAAGAATCCAGCCCCTTCAGCACTGGCTAAACTAAGATATTTTTATATTCAGGCATTTAATTAATTTTTTTCTCCATTTTAAACTAATCACTTCGTTCCTAGGGGTAACCCCATTAGGTCCAGTGTGGCAGACCTGACGCCTTTTAAGTCACCCGTGAAACAAAACCATGAGAATTGGCCCAAACTGAATTTTAAGATGTTTTGTTTAAAAAAAAACTGAGGGAGAACCAATAATTGATATATCCAGAGAAAAGCAGGACCCAGAGTAGGAATGTCAGGGTCAATATCTGAGTTATAATGGAAATACGCTCTTTCTGTAATAGTAAGTTCAACTTTCGGAGACACACGCTTTGGGTACTCAGAAGACTATGGTTCTGTAATAAAATAAAATGGCCTGGTCTTCTCTTAATATAGATTTGCCCCAACTGAACCCGGACAAGGCGGAGGTCCTGAGGGTGGATACCCCCACTGTTGGCGGCTTGGGTGATTCCCTCTCGTTGGGGGGGGTGACCATTGCCGCAAAGAGTGGCGTTCGCAGTCTGGGGATCCATCTGGACCCGGCGCTCACCATGGAGACTCAGGTGGCGTCGGTGGTCCGCACCGCCTTTTTTCATCTTTGGCGGATAGCCCGGCTGCGACCCTATCTCGATGTGAGGGCGCTCACCACCTTGGTCCATGTGCCCGTAATCTCGAGATTAGACCATTGTAACGCGCTCTACGTGGGGCTGCCTTTGAGACTGACGCGGAAACTCCAAGTGGTGCAGAATGTGGCGGCCAGACTCCTGAGTGGAGCGAGAAAATACCATCACATTTCTCCTATTCTGGACGCATTGCATTGGCTGCCCATTCAGTTCCGTGTTGACTTCAAAGTCCTGATGCTCATGTTTAAAGCCCTAAACGGTTTAGGGCCTCGATACCTGGCGGAACGCTTACTCCCACCCAGTTCTACCCGTGTCACTTGCGAGAGTGAGGAGGTGAGGCTGAGGAGCCTGACGCCGAGGCCTGGAAGGAAAAAACAAGAAACCGGGCCTTCTTGGCGGCGGTTCCTCGCCTCTGGAACAACAGAGTGGAGTGGTCGTAATTGACCAGATAGGCAGGGTATAAATGGAATAAACACATAAACTGCCACTCAGAAGTAGGCTCCGCCCACTGCCCTTCAGCCATGCCTACCCAGCCATGGGTGGATCCTTGGAAGCCAACCAAGGCTTAAAGTGGTCCTTTATTCTGAATGAAACCATCTGGTGGTCCAGATCTACCCTCTGCCTCTACACCAGAAGGAGGGAAACTAGATAGGCAGGGTATAAATGGAATAAACACATAAACTGCCACTCAGAAGTAGGCTCCGCCCACTGCCCTTCAGCCATGCCTACCCAGCCATGGGTGGATCCTTGGAAGCCAACCAAGGCTTAAAGTGGTCCTTTATTCTGAATGAAACCATCTGGTGGTCCAGATCTACCCTCTGCCTCTACACCAGAAGGAGGGAAACTCCATTCCAGAGTCCCTGAAGCACCACTGGGTGGAACCTAAGCAGCGCCATGGGTGGATCCCTGGAAGCCGGCCAAGGCTTAAAGTGGTCCTTTATTCTGAATGAAACCACCTGGTGGTCCAGATCTACCCTCTGCCTCCAGAGTCCCCGAAGCACCACCAGGTGGAACCTAAGCAGCAGGCTGTACTTTTCCGCTCCCCCTCCCCAAAACCAGTTCTTAGTGGGGAGTTTGGTTTGATCCTCCAGCAAAGTTAGGAGGAACCCCCCCATCCATGCTTTCTTGTGGAATCCACGCCTCCCTCTCAAAATGGGACGCCCCCTCCCCCAAGGGACACCAGGCACACAGATGAGATTGTTTTTAAGTTAGCTTTATTTGGAGAAAGAGGGGAGGCAGGCCAGCTTTAGTCCTTCTTGGCGGCGGCTTTCCTCATGGCGGCCAGGACGCTGCTGAGCTCTTCCCGCTTCCGCTTGGCCCGGATGTGAGTCCCAACCTGCCGGAGGGGGGGAGAGAACACAGTTAGCCCATGAGAGGCAGAGGCCGACGGAAAGAGGCCCCTCTCCAGGGTTGCAAAGGCCAAACCGTGGAGGGAACCACAAATCCCCCCGGCCAGGGGGGGGGGGGGGAGAGAACACAGTCAGCCCATGAGAGGCAGAGGATGACGGGAAAAGGCCCCTGTCCAGGGTTGCAAAGGCCAAACCGCGGAGGGGACCACAAATCCCCCCGGCGGGATTCGGAGACAGCCTCCTCCACAGCGGCTACTCAACCCGGAGAATGGGCACCTGCTCCCATCATCCCCAAACCCTGGGTCACACCAGTAGGGTTCCCTGGTCCTCAGAAGTGTGTCCATGGCAAGAGAGGACAGAACCTCCCATTGTGGGAAGGATCTGAACCCAGGTTAAGAAGGCCAGGACGTCCAGCAAGTGCAGGGGATTGGACTAGATGACCTCTGGGGTCCTGACCTGAAGCAGGGCACTCTGGACCATCTGCGGGAGGGGGGGACTAGCTCACCCCACTTCACACAGCGGTGCTTCAGGAAAGGTCGTAGCATCCCGTTCAGCATCCAAGTCGGACCGACCCCCCCACCCTTTTTCCCCCGAGATTTTCACACTTCCTTTACTTGGGAGGGGAAAGGAGAGCAAGTAAGAAGGTCAGCGGGTTGCCCTTTCGGCACCCCCCCCCAACGAGACAGGCTCACCCTCTTCTTGATGAATTTCAGGGCTCGCTTGTCTTTGGAGACCTTGAGGAGCTCCATGGCACGTCTCTCGTAGGGAGCAAAACCACACACCTCCCGGATCATGTCCCGCACAAACTTGGTATGTTTGGTGAGGCGCTGCAGGAGAGGAGAAGGGAAGATGAGTTTGGGGGGGCCCTTTTTTCACTCTGCTCCTGGGGGATTCTGCAGTTTGGGGCTGTTTCCACCAGAAGGGGCGGAAGGGGACCCCCGCTCCTCTTGGGGTCACGACCCCATGCCAAGCCATGGCCGGGGTGCGTGTGTGGTCCTCAGCGGTCATCCCGGGAGTGAAACTGATTCAATCTGGAAGCCCCAGACCAAGGCAAGGGGAGCCTGCTTTGCCCACCCCACTCCCAAAAGCGGCACTCACCCCACGGCGCCGGCACTGGCGGGGCTTGGACACGTTCTTCGTCACTTTGTGGCCCTTGTTTAGGCCGACGGCCATTGGGTACCGGATCGCCATGGCTAAGGAGAGAGGGAGAAAGAGTAAGGGGTGGGCCTCCCTCCGAGGAGCACGGGACCTGGAGTACGCAGTAACACCCTCTCCCACACACATACACACAGGCACACCTGGCCGCCCATGGCACCCCCGCATCTTTCTCCCACACACACACACACACAGACACACCTGGCCACCCATGGCACCCCCGCATCTCTGCAAGAGAGAAACAAAGGAAAGGGGGCTATAAAACCACCCCGTCCACAACTCAGTGCTGGGATCCAAACCAAGCCCCCCCACCCCCCAGCACCGCGGATGGATGCGACCAGAATCAGGAAAAGGGGCGACTCCTTTTCCAGTGGCGGAGAGTTCCAGAGACCCAGCCCAGGAAAATCACAATAACAACGATAAACATGATGATGCGGTCCTTAGGCTGGGAGCGTTTGCTCCGAGGAAGCAGTGAGGGTTGTCCCCCGACCTCGGAGGCACCCCCCTTCCCTGACTCTCGAGTAAACCCATACAGAACAGATCCAGGAGTCACGCTTAATTCCCAGCCGGAGGGTGTCTGGAAGGGGGAGGCAAAGAGGGAGGCGTCCCCACACCACCGCCGGCCAGACCACGGGGCTCCGCTCCGTGCCCCTCCGAGGGGTCCCTCCGCGCCCTCCAGGGATAACTCGGCCGCCCCAAGGCCGAGGATGGAGGCCGATTCTTCCTCCCCCCCATCACCGAGGCCGGGAACCCACCTGGGGAAGGAACGGAGGCCACACCGGAAGAGAGAAAAAGGAAAGGAAAGGAAGAGAGGCTGCGCGCGCACCTCAGACCGGAAGTGACGTCGCCAGCCGCAAACCATAGAGGGGACGCAGAGCGGCCGGAATTGTCTCTGGAGGGAAGATGGCGGCAGCAGCGGCCGTTCCGCTTCCCGTCCCCCGTGCGGAGTTGAAGCTGGTCCGGCTTTTAAGCCGCTGCGAGGCGCTGGCGGCCGACCGGCGGAGCGGAAGGCGCCGGGCGGCGGGGAGGAGGAAAAGAAGGAAAACCCCAGCATGCACCTTGGATTGCTTTAGGAACTTTGGACACCCTCAAAATGTGTCTTTCTTTTTCTTTAGTACGTAGCTGCTCTGGAGGAGATGCTCCTTGCACTGAAGAAGCATCCCAGGTGAGTGGGGCCTGCTGGGAATCCATCTCAGGTTAGGCTCAAAACCAGCCCCTGGGAAGGAAGGAAACCTGGGGCTTGCCAGCTGCTCTTCCCGCCTCTTGAGGATAGGGGTGTGGTGGGTGGAAAGAGCATCATCCTTTAATCTCATTTTTGCAATTTCTTTTCCAGCAAGCCCATGCCTGAGGTCCTGAACGAATATTCCCGCAAGGTGGACTTCTTGAAGGGGTTACTGGAAGCAGAGAAGCTGGTAAGCTTTAGCAACCCTTCTCCCCAGGGGGGGGTCATGGGTTGAAGGCTTGTCCTGGCTGAGTTGAAAGCTTGGCCCTTCCTGGCTGAGCCTCAGAGCCAAGAACCTGTCGGCTCAATCCCATCCTCAATCCCTCTCCGTCTCCCTCTCTCAGTCCACGTCCTCGGAGAAGGCCCTGGCCAACCAGTTCTTGGCTCCCGGGAGAAACCCTACCACGGCTAAGGAGCGCATCCCGGCCACCAAGACGGTGCACCTGAAGACCAAGGCCCGCTACACGGGCGAGATGAGGAGCGAGCTGCTTGGTACAGTATGTCTTCCTGGCCGACATGGCGCTTCCTTCTCCACCCCCCCTCCTCTTTCTCTCCTAGCTCCTGAGGTGCATCTAATCCCCAAAGGCAACTTCTCCAGACACAGTGGTTGCTTTCCCATCTCCTCGCAGTCCCGGCAGAATTAATGTTGGGATATGGGGGCAGGTGTTCCCAAACCCACACAGAGCTTGCTCTTACGCCGGTAACGTCTCTTTTTCTCTTTTCCTCCTGCATTTCCTTCCTGCTTAACCAGGGCTCCTCCTGTGCTCCCGGTAAGTCTTTTGAGGTTCCAGGGGCTATGGCAAATGGGAAAGCTTGAGGTGGCAAAACCAGACCTTAGTAGTCCCTGCCAATAAGCCCATTTCGATCTCACCCGTAGCTAGGAAATCTGGAGGCTTCCCCATCAGACTCTCTCTGCTTGTCTTGAGCCTCTTCCCCGCCCTGCCCCCACCTGCCACAGCAACTTGCTTGACCCTTGGCCGCTTTTGCCCTCCTTTTTTGGAAAGGGTCATCCTTCCAGGTGGGGTGCCTCGTTTGGCAGGTTCTCTCTTGTCCCCTCTCTCCAGAATTTTTGGTCTTGCTCACTCCTTGGTTGGGAAAATTGGGTGGTTGCTCTGAATAAACTCTCTTTTCCCTCCCTAGGTTCAGAAGAGACAAGCTTGAGAAAGCGCATGTAAGTGTTGAGCGGAGGAGGTGAGGTTGGGGAGCGGGATGGAAAGTGGGGTGGGGCATGGAAAGTGGGGTGGGGCATGGAAAGTGGGGGGCTGCCCCCCTCGCCCTGTGGCCACGACTTGACTCCCAGGCTTTCCCCTTAGCAGCTGGGTTTTCCACAGGAAATGGCAAGTTGAGCCTTCACGTGTAGAAAAAGTCTGGTGCCTTTCCCACTGCTTCTTCTCCAATGCCACCTCTAGATTTCAGCTCCAGGGGGTGGGTGGGGAGGAGTTGCAGGCTTCTGGCCCACCAGAGGATCTGTGGCCATTCCGTGAAGGAAAGCGGCCTGACTTGGCTGGTTTTGCCATGCCTGGCAAGGAAAGACATTTAGGGGGCTGCACCAAAAGCCAGCTGGCCCTCAGCCAGCCTTGCGGCCCAGATCAGTGAGAAGTGCCCCATCTCTCGCCTGCTCTTGACCTGCAGCGGCTCCCTCCCTGATGAGAAGCAGTCGGCCGCAGAATTGGATGCCGTCCTGCAGCACCACCACAGCATCCAGGAGAAGCTAGCGGACGAAATGCTGCACCTGGCTCGCAACCTAAAGAACAACACTCTGGTGGCACAGAACGTGATTAAGCAGGACAACCAGGTAGAGCATGCGGCCTCCCTCCCTCCCAAGGTGCTCTGCTGTGGATGCCAAGAATACTGGCCTGGCTGGTCCAGCAACAGTTGACTGTGGGAGGCAGTAGCCATGTTCCATTTTTGACAGCTTGCTTGTGCTTGTTTCAGGCAGTGAGGTGGGTTGGGAAAAAGGGAAGGTCTTTTCCCGGGTTCTTTGGGCAGAGGCTGGCTTTGCCCTTGGGAACGGCTCACTTCAGCACCCCTCTCTCGGCTTTTCTTGATTCTAGACTCTGTCCCAGTCCCTCCGCTTGGCCGACCAGAACTTTGAGAAGCTGAAGGACGAGTCGGATCGTCTCGAGCAGCATGCCAAGAAGTCTGTCAACTGGCTCTTGTGGCTGATGTTGATTGTGGTCTGTTTCATCTTCATCAGCATGATCCTTTTCATCCGGATCTTTCCCAAGCTGAGGTGATTTGCCCAGGAGGAGCAGCACCGCCACCACCCGACACTTCTTGCTCCCCTGGCCCAAGCATTCTAACCCGGCAACAAAAGTTCCCTTCCAGCTGTTCTGCAGACTGATATTCTGGCCCTCGGTGGTGCTCCGGCTCCGGGCTTGAACAAAGGGCCCTGCAGTGCCTTGCTTGAATCCTCAAAACAGGGAAAGGGGCACCCCGTTTTGCCATCTGGGACAAACAGGAGGTGGCGGTGCTCCCTTCCTGTTTGGGCCAGCTTCTCCCAGACCAGCCATACTGGGAAGTTGCACCTGGCCTGCTGGTGAGCTTCTCTTCCTCCTGTGAGGAGCAGAAGACTAAGCGAAGAGCCTTTCCTCTTGATCCTGGCCTGCCTATCTAAAATCAGTTTCTATTGCTTTATTTATTTGCTTTTATTTTGTTATGCATATCCTCGCAAAAAACCTTTTGTTGCCCAGTCCACGTGTGGGTTTTATCTTTTCGTTAGTGACCCCGTGTACTCTTAGCTGCCGCCCTCATAGAGAGGAGACCTGGCCGAGCAGGCGTTGAGGGGTAAAAGGCTGTGCTTTGCCTATTCGTTGACCAGCAACTTTGTCGGATGTAAAACCGGCTTCTGTGCCAGGCGTCTTTAACGGACGATCAGTGTAGGACGCTCCCCAGGGGCCGCTGTGTAAGAACTGCCATCAGCTGTCATTTCGGCCTTGCACAGTTCAATCAAGGAAGGCGATCAGAAGCGAGTTTAGATTCTGCCTCAAGGTGGCGGGCTGGGCCGATGCCTCCGTTACCGTGGGTTAGACGGGGAACGAGTTTCCCCCTTCTTCCCCCCCCCTTCCATCCCGAAGGATGTGCTTCTTGTTTTATGGGGCCCCTTGTACGACGGGCACCCCGAAAACAAATGGTCCATGGGGACGAGCACCTGTGGGAAGGAGACGTTCCCCCAGTTGGGGCCTCACCCTCCAGGGCAGGGCAGGGCCCAGAGAGGTACAGTCCCCCCGGGGAAGAGGTGTCCCTGCCCAGCCCATTTCCCCTTCGTGCCAGCCTCTTGCTGCCGGGGCGGCTGCTCCTGGAAAGACGAGCCGCTTCCCTCCCGCCTCTGCCCCCAGTGAAGAACATGTGCCTCAGCTTGCTGATTCAGAGGGGAGAGGCTGCCGGTGAAATCAGGAAGGGCAGACGGTTGCTTGTTATCCACAACATGCGCATTAAAACCTGAATCGCTTCTGCCGTGTGGTTTGCCTGAAGGGGAGCTTCGGTGGAGAAATGTGGGGGCGTCGCCTTCCTGTCCCTAGCGTGTGGGCAGGTGACAGGGGACGGGGTGCAGCCTCTGCTGGGGGAGGCAAGCCGTCCATCGGTCTGTCCTGCAATTCTGGGAAGGGCAGCTGTTTCTATGGTCCTCGGGTCGCGCCTCTCCCATTGCCTTCTACCTCGAGCACCTCGGTTGCACCTCCTGCCCAACGGTGGAGGTGGGACCTTTCTGGCAGCGTGCAACCACTCGCCCTCTCTGTTGGCAGTGGCATCTCGGCAGCTCTGCCCTCCTCCTCATGCCTGGCAGCCTCATGAGAATGGCCCCCACGTGCGCAGCTTGGAGACTTCCTTCCTCCAGTGGGAAGGCTCCAGGGAGCAAGCGTTTTTCCTTCTGACGGGTCTATGCCAGGGACCTGTATCCTTCCTGCCCCTTCCCGTCCATGTCCAGGCCTGGAAGGAAGGGTCGGGAGGGGACGTGATGCTGAGGGGCTCTGGGCCGGAGTCTGGAGGAGCCTGCAAAGGTCATGTTCCCAAGCTCTGGGTGGCTGGGCTGGTGACAGACGAGGATTTCCTCCAACTTGGGAACGCGGGCAGAGATGGCCAGCAGAAAAAGAGTCAAGCCGGTGACTCCGTGTTGCTCAGAGGATGTCTCTGCGTCTCCATCCTGTTGGGAAATCTTAGATCGGACGCATCTGTCCTTGCACTGAAGCTTTGATGGACAAACTCAGAGCATTTTGGACTGAGACAAAAGGAGGGGGGGGCTGGAATGAGGCCGTGTGGGACAGCGGTAGCGCGAGCGACGTCTTGATTCCAGAAGTGAGGACGTGAACCTCCCCCCAAGAAGTGGGGTAGAGATGTTAAATTTCCCAAAATTTCCAATTTTTTTCCCAGGGGAAAAAAGAGTACAAATGTGTGTGTGTTTTGGGGAGGGGGGGGGTTGGAATGGAAATTTCCATTTCTCAGTCAATCCAGCCTAGACAACTTTATACATTTTTTTCTGGTAAAGAAGAGATTTTTTTCCCCAGAAGAAAATGGAAATTTTAAATCTCTGGTAGGGGGGAGCCTGAGTGCTTTGTAGGGAGGTGGGGGCTGGCCTAGGAAGGAAACAGCCTCACTTCCTTCTCTGCCTGGGGGGGGGGACTGCCCTTACAAAGCCGCCCTGTGGGACTTCCTTGCCTTTTCCCACAACCGTTTTCCACACGCACGTGCCCCCCCGCGCTTTCAGGCAAGGGCAGGAACAGTCTCACATGAGCCTTGGGAACTCCTTGCCCCATCGGGTCCCAGACTGAGGCTGAGGCGCCTGGAGCACCTTTTGGGGAAGGGCAGGTGGGCCATCTGGCTGCTGCAGGATGTCAGCGCTGGGAACAAGAAGCTTTCGCACACACCGGCTCTGTTTTTGATCTAGAGGAGGGGGGGGGAAGCTGGCGCCAACCCATAAAGGAGAAACCCAGGGTGGGGCTTGGAAGAGTTCACTTTGGGGTGGTAACCGCCTAAAAACCCCATAGTGGCCCACCCTGCTCTTTTTAATAGGCAGGTTCGGGGAATGACGTTTCTTGCTTTGCAAGACCTTAAGAGACCCGGGGTGGTGGTGGTGGTAATTTCATTGTTTTGTGGCCTGTGAGGACAGGGCCAGATCCACGGGCACTCTTGTCTGGTGGCCTGGCAGCCTGGCTGGGATGGGCGAGCCAACAAAGAGGATGGAGAAAAGGAAGGGCGGGTGAGGGGTGGACTTGGCCGAGGGGAGGCCGAAGCCACCTTGGTGGCCAAGAGCCATGGAACCCGATGGGCCACCGAAGAACGGACCGCGGATCGTGTGGCCCCAGGGCCCGAAGGGTGGCGTAGACCGCAGGCGCCGGAGTTCCTTTCCTGGGCCCTTCCTACACTCCTCCACCTTTGACAGCTTTTCTCACAGCTGGAGACGAAGTGGGTCGGGAAGGACGGTCAGCCTAGGGCCAAGAATGCCTTTTGCTTGGAGCACTAAAAATAAAACAAAAAACCAAACATACATCCAAACACATTGCAAGCTGGAAATGCAGAGGAAATCTGCTGCTTAAGGAAAAGCAGAAAGAAAAACAAGGAAACCTTTTTATTTTTTGGTTTTGGACTACGTTCCCCATAATTCCCCTCAAGACAGCTTCATCCCTTCAACCCTATGTCCAAGTTTTCTTTTTGTTTTAGATTTTTAACAAATATCCCTTGCAGCTTGGAAACCTCTTCAATACGGTGTTTTTGGATAACCGCTCCCAAAATCCACACACACACCCCAAGCCAGCCATGGGGTTCTGGGAATGGCCATCCCAAAATTTCCAACCGCTGAGGGGGATACTAATAATCATTAATAATAAAACAGAATAGCCCTGAGTTCCCCACCTTGACAGCTGGGCCATTCCATATATAGAGGGCTCTGTGTGTGCGTGCGCGTGTGCAGACATACATGCACGTGCGTTTCCAACTTGTGAGGGAAATTATGTTCCTAATGTATATAGATATGTACTGTACGTATATATATTTAGGCCTTTTTAAAAAAAATACTTTTTGGGGGCGTGGGGAGGAATACGTAGGTGGCCGGGGATTTTGGGAATTGTAGTCCAACACGCGCGCGCACCCCCCCCCACACCCACCTCTCCCCTCTGGAAGCCAGAGGACTCTGGGGACTAAGGGCCAAAAGGGCTGACTAGCCCCGAGTTCCCCCCTCCCGGGACCCTTCCTCACGATCCCCTTTCGCGAGATCCCCCCCAAAGACCCTGAGAGGGGCGGATAGGGGGGAGAGATCCACCCGTCTCGCTTTCCTCCCCCCTCATTTCCCTCAGAGAGAGAGGGGGGGCGAAAGAAGCGGATGGGGTGGCGGAGTGTTCGGCCTTTCCCACCCACCCCACACCCCTTTTCGGACTCCCTTTCCCCCCCTTCCCTCTTCCCGTCCGGGCTCCCAGCGCCGGGCTTTCCGCCCCGCCAGACCGGAGAGAGGGGAGGGGAGGGAGGAGGGAGGAGGAGGCTTTCCCCTTCCACACAACACACACACACACACACAACCGAGCGAGTGAGCGACCCTCCCTCCGTCCCTCGGAGCGACCAGGCCCCGAAAAGCCCGGCCTCCTCCTCCTCCTCCGTTTGGGCTCCCGGTTTTCTGAGGCCTCCCGGCGGGTCCCCCCCCTTTCCCTTTTCCCTCACGAGGAGGAGCGGGAGCCGAAAGAGCCCCGAGTTGGGTCATCAACCTAACAATCAATCAAACAAAGCGAAGCCCACCCTGTTCTGCAGTGAAGCTAGTGCTCTGGATAAAGTGGGAGAACACTTAGAACCTAACCAGAGACCTTCCAACGATTTACTTACTAACCTTGATACGGACTGTTCTTACCCAGGTCTAGAAGGTTCCTCACCCCCTTCAAAGTGCTTCTCACTTGTGAAAACACTGAACTCTCCATCAGCATCACATAAGACCCCTTGCCCCAAGGCCAGTGCCACAGCTACTGCCGAAACATTCCCGCCTGCCCTTAACAGCAAGTTACTGGAAGCAAACCTGGTACACGAGGGAGAGGGAGAGGGAGAGGGAGAGAATCAAGCAGGATAAAAGTCTAGGTGACACAGCCAAGAGGAAAGAAAAAAAGAATAAGGAGGAGTAATCCCTTTCAGATCTAGAAAATAAGCACCCTCAAAGCTGGGGTGGGGGAGAAAGCACACACACCCCAACATACAAGTCACAGGGTTGGGGGGTGGCGACCTCCTGGGCCCCTATTGATTGCACAGACTCAGGTTTGGGGTTCAGACGTGCATCGGGTGCAGATAAAAACACCCGTCCAGTGTTTTCATCCTTTTGATTGACGGTGCCTGATGTTTTTTTTTAGCAGTAGTAGTGGTTGTAGTAGCAGGAAGTACTAAGTGCTACTACTACTGGTAATAGTAATTTGAATTTAGTAGTGGTAGTGCTGGTGGTGCTAATACAATGACTAGTCATAGTAATAAAGCATAGGCGCAAGGCTAATAGTAATAGGAATGTAATAGGAATGCTAGTGGTCGTAGTGATAATGTAAGAACACCTGGTCTAATAATATAATCTGTTACATTTCTAGTTGTGTAATTGCTGTACAGTATATGCTAATGTATTATGACTGCTATTATTGCCAGTAATAATAATAAATTTGGGCGGGAGTGGTGCAGGTAGGCAGCAGCAGCAACCGAAAAGCGTGAAGCTAACACGTAATGATCATGGAAGGGAGGTCTTTTCT